GATACTGAAATCTTAGTGCCTGTTATGTTCATACCATTGAGTGTTTTGGATTGATTACACAGTTAGTAACCAGAAAAGGGTTCAGGTTCCAAATAAACTAAAGTTACAACAACATGATTATTAGTAATGCATTTTTCTTAAAAATAATGCATTAATGATATTATCGTACAGGTGCCTCTACTTGGAAAGAAATATCTTAACTTACAAACTTTCAGAGATAAGCAAGAACAGGGTTACTCACAGAACAGGTGTTTAATGTGATGAGACTGACTATTTTTTAAGAAAAAAAATTCCAGATAGAACAAACATTACTCTAAGAGGAGAAGAGAATGTGTTTAGTTGCATAAAGGGTATAGCTGTACTATATATCCATAATATTTTCATTTTTTACAATATATTTGGTATCTAAAAGAGCAAAGATGGACTTACAAGCAAGCCTCAGGAACGTAACGCGTTCGTAAGTAGAGGAGTACCTGGAGTATGTAACAGTAAGTGAGGTAGTAAATCTGATGACAAGATAGCCACAATTATTTAGGCTGCTTGTACAGATGGGGCTTGGGGGCTTGTGTAACTTCCAACTTCTATTTATTTTTTCTGGAAGTAGGATGACTCCAGAAGGCTGCACCTTAATTGTTTGAGCCGTGTTAATCACCCTGTTTGAATATAGGGCACACATATGCCATTTTCCTTTGTCTATTAGCATACCTGTCATCTTGGTAAGATTTATCCTTCTCCTTTCATGATCTTGCTACCTTTTCCCTCCTTATTCAGTTCCTTCTTCATCCTTCTACCACTTGTTATCTTGTCATCCTTCCTTATCTATTTCTGCTTGTACCTGGTCTCTCTTCCTTCATTATTTATCAAGCTCTTCCCTCTCTGTTATGTGGTTCTCTTTTGATAACTAATCTTTCATTTCCCATTCTGTCTTCACCATCCTCATAGTCCAATTCTTACCAAGACAGCCTTTTAGTTTACCTGACTCTACTCTTCATCCTTTCCTGAATACTCCCTTCCACTTAATCTGGTTTATATCTCTCTCTCTCTCTCTCTCTCTGATTTATTACTTACTTTCCCTTCCTTCCTTCCTTCAATCCCTGTACTAAAGTTATTAGCCTGGCATTTGATATCTGTTTCTGCATTTTGTTACCTGGTCACCCTCCTTCTTGAGCTGGGGGGAGTCGTTATCGTAAGGAAGCGATTCGTTGTCTTCGAGGTCAGTGTCGAGGGGGTAGTACTGCCCCTGCACATTTGGCGTGGGCAGCCGCTCGATCACCACTGGCAACTCCACGAAGTTGGGTCTGATACATTCCTGGATGATATCTTCCACCTCCTTTTCCATTACCTGTTGGTGTAAATGCATATGGAGTATACAGTGAGTATGCTGTCAGTACAAAATTATTACACAACCTATGATAAATGAGATTAAATTTTATATAATTTACAGTACTGTACTTTACTGAAGCAGCAATGTACATAAATGACTAGAGAGCATGTCAGTGAGTGATATTTGGGGAAGCATATGCTGCTGCTGCTGCTGGTGGGTGATGCTAGATTTTTAGTGACGGGTAAACCAGATAGAAATTTGGGACTTGATGGTTGAAGGGAAGTACCATAATAGAACACATCTGATACTGTAATAAGAATTCATGAATGACATCCAATTTCTGAGAGAACCTGTGTGTGTGTCTGATCTTGATTCTGGTTTCAGGCATTACATTGAGAAAAGGCTTGAATGAACATATATTGCTATGGTAGCTATATCATCTGCTGTGGTAGGCATACAGGGGCAGTACAGTATTGTCAATATGTGTTTGCTGTAGTAGGCATACAGGGGCAGTATTGTCATCATGTGACAGCTGTAGTAGGCATGCAGGAGCAGTATTGTCATCATGTGTCTGCCCTTGGTAGGCACTGAGTAATATTGCACTAAAACAAATGTAAGTTTATTTTTACCTCCACCTTTTTGGATAGTTAGATTGGCCACCTTTGTCTTTACCCAATGACAATTGGTGTCAAAGAAGTCAAGAACATGTCACAACAAGGCAAAAATTACCCACATGAGCTGTTCAAATGGACTTGAGACTGGCAAATGGTCTTTAACATTACAAAATGCAAGTCCCTTCACACTTTCCTGGATTCTGTCAATAAGGAGAAAGATCTTGGTGTTGTGATAAGTCATTCAATGAAGGTGGCACAACAAGTAACTCCAGCAGTGAGAAAAGCAAATTGAGATTTGGGAATTATAAATGTACCTTTGAATATACAGGTAATGATAGAAAAATTCTCCTTGAACTATACAACTCTCAAGTATGTCCCAGTCTGGATTACTGCGTACAAGCATGGAAACCCTACCTCCAGAAAGATATAACATCCCTAGAAAAGGTCCAGCACAAGCAATCAAGATGATTCCAGAACTACTGTATATCATCTCGATTATCCAAGTTCAGTAGACCTTTCAGACAAGGCACAATATGGAAGATTTCATTAAAATATACAATATCCTGAAAGGAGATAATTACAAACTCGTCAAACTATCTTGCAGAACAAATATAAGGAAATACTTCTTCACACAGATGGTGAGACCTGGAACGGTCTACCAGCCCAAGCTGTAGAATCATGAACAGTACTGGGCTTCAAATAACCCTCTACAAAATTAACATGAACACTGGAGGGATCCTACACAGGCCACTGGCCTCCTTCTCTTGTCATAGCTACTTCTTGTGGGTGGTCATTAGGTAAATAAGTAAGCGATTTTTCCAATTTAGCATAATATATTTGTTTTAGTTTCATTGTGTATTTTTAAAATTGTTGTTATTATAACTGCATTTAACTTCACTACACTTTTCAACTAGTCTCCAGTCATGATTTGAATTTGTCTTTTGATTTAATAGTTTCATTTTTTTAATATTATAACAGTCATGTGTCTTGTTTTATCTTATCATTGTTGATTCTTTTCTATAGATTGCACTGATGATGGCTACTGTGATAATTGAAAGTTAACTAATAAAGAAGAATAAGTGTCAAGATGTTCATTGTGGTGCTTGTCCAGTCTTTGAACCTTACAAACTAGGTACTTGTTTGTTTGTAATATTACCATACAAATAATTACATTATAAACATAATATGGTACTAGATATAAAAGTAGTAACCTTAAACAGGAAGTCAATCCTGTCGATGGGTATGGCATGTTTCCTGGCATAGTTCTGACGTATGCCCGTGAGGAAGGAGTAGGGGAAGAACAGCCCAGAAAACCAGAATACGTCGGGGATTTTCTCATCCGCCCACCGCTGGAAGAACTTTAGCCTGAAAGAATGCATAATAAGGTAGTAAGACAAACAAGCACAGCATAGGCCTCTTGAGTGAGTTCTTTATCATATTATTATATCAACAGTCTACTCAAAATTTATGCTTAGTAGACCTGAATCCCATATAATGCCAACTATATGAAACATTATTCTAACACTTTTATGAGCTTCACATATACTTTGTCAAGCATCTTTAAGTTAGCTTGAAAAGTATACAGTGGTCCCTCGGTTAACGAGATTTCGGTTAACGAGTTACCTTCCATAAGATTCTTAACTTCGGTTAACGAGCAATCCCTCGATTAACGAGTATCTTACGAGCCGACCTCCACATGTTTTAGCTTGCATTTGGCGGTCCACCAGCTGTAGTATTAGTCCGCCAATACAGTAATCGGTTCTAGGGCTCAAATTCCTGACCCTTTTAGTAAATATCAAGAAGTTTATACTAGTCAATAATTTTAAAAGTTTAATATTAATTTTTTTAGTTATTTAAACAATTATTGAACATAATTGAAGGTAGGGTCACTAGTTTGTGGCACGCCATCCAGCCTGCCAACACAGCATACAGGCGTCAATCTGTGTCTTTTCAGTGGAGGTAACATCTTGCTTGAGAGACTCTTCAACTAAATGCTTTTTTTCTGTGTTTACAGGCAAATTGTTGGTCATTTAGAAATTTATTTTACATATTGACAATATATAATGCAGTGCAGTGTTGATCTAAAGAAAATAATCTTGAATTACACCAAGAGAACTAAAATTTTATGGGTGAAATGGCGCCATGGGGTGACTTCTCTTCCACCCCAATTCCTTCTCTTCTCCCTTCTCCTCCACCCCCATTCTAATTCCCATCATCATCATCATCATCATCATCATCATCCACGAGCCTTCTACATACACACCTCAAAGTAAGTGTACTTTTCTACCTTTTTTGTTGAATTTAGGTAATTTTCGGTGAGCTAGAACCAACTACCCAAAAACCCATTGAAACAATGGTTTCGGTTAACGAGCAACCTTCTAGAACGGATTGTGCTCGTTAACCGAGGGACCACTGTACAGTAATACCCTGGTTTACGCAGTTCTCGTTTACGCGTTTCCACATTTACGTGGTACCCCGCCAGAACCGGAATGCGGCGCGGGCAGGGTGCGCACAAGGCTGCCCAGTCATCAAAACATTACCGAGTTCTTCACCCGCCACCCACCACAGCCGGCCCAAGTCAGTGATAGTGAGGATATGGACTTTGAGGGGTTTGACAAAGAGGCCCTGCAAGCCTCTGTGGTGGATAGTGATATAATTGATACAAGTGATACAGGTGAGGGCCAATAATCTGCCCTCTGCCTCGGAACCAACCCCCCATCCCCGTGTGCCCAGCCATCTTTTCTACTAATGTAAGTGTTAAAAACCTAATATTATTGATATTTCTCTTAATTGTGTGCATACCATCATAAAATTAAGATGTTATTTTTACTACAACGTAGGTATTGTGTCTGAAAAAGTGTAGTTTGGGAGTCGGCCCGGTCTCTATTTCAATTAATCCCATATGTTCTGTTGTTCACTTTACGCGTTTCTCGTTTTACGTGCTACTCCGCGGGTTCAATTGACCGCGTAAATCGGGGTATTACTGTATTTAAAAGTATCTACAATTTATGTCAGTAAATTGTACCTGTAGTCTGATACTGTACAAGTATCCCTCATTTAAAAGTGTGTGTGTGTGTGTGTGCACACAGGGTGGTGTAATGCATCTAGTGTGACAGCATTATATTAGTGTTAAGGTGCAAGCACTGTTTGCTACCTCTCGCTTTCAGCTGCTGCCGCTGGCTACCTCTCATGACGAACAAAGAAGCAACCTTCTGTAAGTCTTCCCTTACCAGTACACAGCCTCTTCACCATCAAAACTCCTGCTGTGCCTCCTCGTGGCAACACATGATAACTGGGTGCCTCGTGGGGCCAGGCTAGACCAGCAGGGGATCTCGGAGCAGCAGTGGGCCCCAGAGGGACAGCACATAGACCCACAGGCATGTGGACATGTCCTGGTGCCTACTAACCACTGCCTTGCAGATTAACCTTGGTAGGTATAAGACTACTGGTGTAAACCCTAAGCGAAAAATCTGAAGCGGAGACATGCTTACAGAACTCCAGTAAGACCCCAATGGCAGTGTAGGTGGAAGAGATAACCAACAAGGGAACCCAACGACTACACCAGCAGATGAAGGCAATGCAAAATGGACAGGCTAATAAGGCAAAACCCAACAAACTGGGCTATTGGCAGTCCATTGCAACTCTCCTCCCCATGCGTTGCAACTACCTGCACCACTGGACCAGGACAAGGGAGAGCCATGGTGTGTGGTTGTAGTCTGTGCTCTTGCCTCACCACAAAAATCAACTCATGCACAGCCATCACTTACTACTACTCATCATACTCGATTCTGAGAGACAGCAAAGTAGGTGGGGTTGCATTCCTGAAAAATCTAACATTAAAAAAAAATTATTACTAAATGAGGATAACATCGAAGCATGGAGGACAAGCAACAGGTTTAAATGTCATGGCAGTAAACAGCGAGGACTGTACTCCCTAATAATAATAAATGAGTTCATTACGAATAGTTTCAAAGTTAAACGACGGATTTATTAACACAAAAATTCAAATTGCATACATGTACTGTACTACAACATCTTTTAAGATAAACAATAAAGTTGATAAATAGCATATTATAAAACAAAAGCACATATTTTATGTAAAAAAAACCCAGCTCCTTCCACACTCAAACCAGCCGAGCACTCACTCAGTTGACTTAGAGATGTGTGCGTGCCTGCTGCACTGTGTGTATGCTGTGACATCACTGCCCACACATACAAACCCATGCTCTTCATTTTTCTTATTACATAATTTTATATGATATTTTCTTTATTTCTAAGCCACACTAGAGTATTGTAATGATTTTTTCACAACTAATATAGTTTCGATTACATGTAACAATGGAAACATGATATCTCACAGGCCACCTCATCTCCAGCTTTTCCCACTTTCACAGCAAGTTGAGCTAAACCGAATTTTGATTTAACGTTAAGCAAGAAACGGTGTCAAAATTTGTTTATCACTAAAGCGAATTAACACTGAAAGAGGGATACCTGTATCATAATTTATCATAATTCATCAACTCTCATAAAAAGTAGAAAAACAGTTAACATGTTTGGGAGATGGTAAAAAAAAGCAGACAATTCAGGAATTATGAGGAGCATATTTAAAGAGGATAAGGAGTACCTGTGCAGGAGGTCACTGATGTACGGGGCGAGGGCTTTCTTGGAAGGGTAGGAGCGGCTCTCCCACATCTGAGGCACGCGACCCAGCACCAAGGACTGGTAGGTGTCCTCCACCTCGTCAGACATGAGACTCTCCCCGCTGACCGCCCTTCTAACTCCTTTCAGAGACGTTTTTATGATAGCAATCAATCTGTTATACCTGAGTAATTCCTGGAAGATAAGAGATTAGTTTCAGAAACAAGTGTTTAAAATCATGAGTTTAATCAGAGAAAATAGATTATTTGAAACACCTCAAACGATGAATTCAAGATGAAGTCTACTCCATCAGGTCAGAAATGTTGAGGAACATTCAAAGAAATCTGCTTTTTCGTTTATAAACATGTTTTGAGATTGGTGGGAATCATTTCAAACAAATAATGTAACTACAGTAGAATCCTGGTTATCCGGGACCTATGGGGATTGAGAGGTGCCAGATTAAGAGATTTTCCAGTTAGTGGAACTTCACTCTTGGAATCCCCCCAATAACTCATGCAATGCACAGTGCGTCAGGCTGACCTCACATATTCTTGTCTCAGAATTCTGCAAAAACCATATCACTACTTATTACAACATTTATTTATATATAACCATACGAATAACAGGGAGAGACTTCAGTAATCAAAATACATGTAAGTGAATAGTTTCATACATAACTAAACCTTACTTAATCTACCTTAAGATGGTGAGTAATAGGTGCAAGTACTGCTTGCTCCCTCTCGCTTTCAGCTACAGTCGCTGGCTAGCCCTTGTGGTGAACAGGGAAGCAACTTGCACAAGTCTTCCCCTGCCAGTACACAGCTTCTTCACCATCAAGACTCTTAAGTGTCTTGTGGGCCCAGGCTAGCAAGGGATCTCAGAGTAGCAGTGGGCCCCAGAGGGACAGTGCATAGGCCCATGCACAATGGCACCCAGTCTGAGTTCCTCCCCACCCAAACAGGGGTAAAACAATGATGTGTACTGGAACCAACTCTTTTCCATTTTCCTGGCTGCCTTCCTTACTCGCGCCAGCACCAATTTAGCTGGCGGGGTGAACATCGAGTACCGGATGAAGGGTCTTTTCAACATAAGACTACTCCAGGCAGGAACAAAGGTGTCGACAGCTTCCATTACTGAACTTCAGTACATGCAGACGACCTCACCCTTGTCGCTCACACTGAACGCGACCTTCAGGAGATCCTGAACACCTATGCACATGCGTATGCACACTTCGGCCTTGAGGTGAATGTACATTAGATTCAGATTCTCTTTCAGCCTTCCCCTGGTTTAGCCACACCTCCACCATCCATCTAGCTTAATGGTACTATCCTCTCTAATGTTACCCACTTCAGTATCTCAGCTCCCACCTGTCCACCACTGCGGACATCGATGAAAAGATTTAACACTGAATCAGATATGCACCTCAAGCCTTTTGAAGACTCCGTACCCATGTCTTCAGCTGTAGTGAGCTGAAATTATCATTAAAGTGGCACATATATAGTAGCAGTGGTCCTCCCCACCCTGCTATATGACAGTGAGACAGGGGTCACATACAGGAGGCACTTCAAGGCACTTGAAAACTTTCACCAACGTAGTCTACGTTCCGTCCTCCAAGTTCGCTGGGAAGACGAGAGAAAAAATGCAAATATTCTCGCTGACACCAACTGTACTGTAGGAGCATCGAGGCTACCATTATCCATGAACAACTACGATGGACTGGCCATGTTACCCACATGGATGACAGTAGACTGCCAAAGTAGCTACTTTACAGTCACCTAACGAATAGTAAACGTAACGCTGGCGGGCAACTGAAACGGTATGTATAGGGATGGTCTTAAGACAAACCTGAAAAAGTACCAAATCGACCTCTTCACCTAGGAGACGATTACTCCATCCTGTAACGCTTGGAGGAGCACCACACAAAAAGGCGTCAATACTTTTGAGTGGCCCGACCGCATACTGAGGCAGACAAGTGCTATCGCCTGAAAGACGCTGACGCTGCCCCTCTCGCACTAGATGTAACCCCCCACATGTGCAACATCTGTGAACGGCCCTCCCGGTCTCGTATTGGCCTCTTTAGTCACCTCAGAACTCACCAGAATAGGTGACACCCCTAATAACTCATAACATTGTATCATAGCTGGATGATCGTCATACTCGATTCCGAGAAACAGCAAAGTAGTAGTAGGTAGAAGGCAGCTATCAAACAGGGAGGTACTACCGCCTGGGAAGATATTGCAAGCATAAGGTGTTGTCTAATGGTAGACCCTGCTGCTTTATTGTATCACAAAAATTGTGACCAAGTCCCAGGTTGCTGAGCTGACTTTCTGCCTCACTTATATACAATTGCAGGGTCTCAATTGTCTTACTACGTAATGACAACACAACATATATAACTTTTCTCACTCTTGATTTGAGGTCCTACCTTGAAGTATTGCTCTCATATTTGGGGTGGCTCTTCTTCTTTGCAACTGTTAGATAAGGTGGAATCAAAGGCATTTTGTCTCATTAACTCTCCTCCTTTAGTTGACAATCTCTTCCCTTTCTCTTCGCTGCAATGTTGCTTCGCTCTCTCTCTTTTACAGGTACTTTTAACGGGCAATGTTCGGTGGATTTGGCATCCTGCGTACTGCTGGCAAGGCCGTGGGCTCTTAACACTCGTCTTGCCCGCGGTGCCCACCGTTACTCTGTAGATGTGGGTCACACTAGAAAAACCCGTTATAGTACATCCTTCTATCCTCACACAGACAAACTGTGGAATGCTCTGTCTTCTTCTGTGTTTCCATACTCTTACAATCTGTCTCACTTCAAAAAGCTGGTTTTCTGGCATCTTCGTGTTGTAGATTAATCTTGTCATTTTCTCTTCTATTTTTAATTTCTTTTTACTCTTTATTTTTTTGCCTCCCAGGCCCTGTTGTGGGTCGATGACCTGTGCCTGGGTGGGCTATTCCCAGTAAAAAGAAAAATGTTCTTAAATTAAACACTAGATTGTTTTCCTTCTTGTATACAGTTTGCATTTTGATGACAATCAAAAGCAATGTAAGGGAAGAGTTACCTGTCTAAGTACAATATTGAGGGACTGGGTGTAGCTGATAGGGTGACGCTCCTCCGCTTCAGCCAGATTGAACTGCATGGGTAGCCGAGCCAGAATCTCGCAGGCCAGGTCTCTCACCACCATTGCGACATCCCCAGTAACACTCCCACCCAGCTGCGGCTCCAACTGCAGTATTCCCCGGAACAGCTGTGGCAATTTACTATTAAATGCTGATAATATTGAGATAGGATGTAAGATACAAATAATGTCAGATATACAAGAACATTAATGTACAGTATATGTAAAACAACTGTTCGTATAACATCTACAACACATATGTCATTACCATCACATTCACTACAAGAAACGAAACAACGTAAAATCAGTTTTTCATTGTGCTCAAGAAGGTCACCTGATCAGTCTCCCGGTGGTCCTTAGCGAGGTCAGCGTTCTCATGCAGACCAAATACCTGAGGTGGGGTTGAGAGTGGGAGGCTGGCAATATGGTCTACATAACCCTGCCAGGTGGAGGCTGAGGGCACCTGGTATTCCTCCACCCCACACACCTTGTACCTGACAACACAGAGAATCTATTGCATTGTTTGATGGCTCTTAACCTGCTTCAATTTGCTTATGATTTCAACATTCTTTCTCAGTCAAATTTAGCATCATAGAATTACTTGTACGTAAATGGAAGTTTACTATTACATATCATCACTGATGATGTCATGATTGTAAAAATTGGCAAGGAGACAAAGAAGAAGGCGGCGGTCTCTGGAGTCGGTGACACGCCCGCCATAGTTACATTCGCCCGTCAGGTACACCAATGCCTCTAAGGGTACCTCCCTCCCTTCATACTCAGTTAGCAACATCTGACAAGTATAGAGGAGCATTAATGATGATATTCAGAAATTTTTATATATAAATAAAAAGATTCAACTGCTTTTAGATTACTGTACTTTGACAAATAGAAGTTGCCCCCAATTCTAAGCCATAGATTGAATTTTGGATAGAATTCATGCAAAGGAACTGCATCCTGTAGTTGGAGATCAAAATCTTATTCTTTACTTTACGTTTTTCTCTTCACCACTGATTGGTACACTAGCAGCTTGGGCGGTTGGTCATGTTTCTGTTACAGACTGTTGGCAAGTACTGGGCATGTATACATGTACAGTATTCAAAATTGTTCATAACACAAGAGATATGTATGTTCAGTATATTATATTGAGTACAATACTAGTGTACATACAGTATGCACATACAGTGTTAGAATACAGTGGTCCCTTGATTAACGAACACAATTGGTTCCTCAGAGTCATTTGTTAACCTCAGTACCTTACAATCCGAATCTTATTATTTCAAAGGGATATTGGGTAATTGGTCTCCAGCTCACTGGAAAAGGCACATACAAAGCAAAGTCACCAAAATGTATGAAGTCAGAAACACTCCTAAATATCCCCTAAATCGCCTAAATCAATATCATATATATATATATATATATATATATATATATATATATATATATATATATATATATATATATATATATATATAGATATAATATATATATATATATATATATATATATATATATATATATATATATAGTATATATATAGATATATATATATATATATATATATATATATATATATATATATATATATATATATATATATATATATATATATTATATATATATATATATATATATATATATATACAGTGAGTTCTGCTATAAGTGTTTTGGCAACGCGAATTTGTTCGAACGCGATTTATGAATTGAGAACGATATTTGTAAAAGCGAACTCGTTTGTTTCAATAACATATTATCAGTTTTGAACTGACCATCATAAATTTATTTGTCAGTGGCCCAAGGTTAAAAATGCTTTGAAAACCTTTGATCGAGACGTATGATAGTTATTTAGTGGGTCCCTTATTTTTGACCTGACCTGACTAGTCACGTCAGCCCCCTTCTCTTTAGCTCCTCTACGTGTGTGTCGGTGTGTGGATTAGTGGATGACATTATTATGACCTAACCTCATGTTTTTAAGGTCACCCTGTATATTTAAGCCTCTCTCTGTCCATGTAATCCAGTTGCCTCTGAAGATGTCTTGAATAAACACGAAAGCTAAGGTGCTCCGTTGTTTCCCTTTTCCTGTGTGATTTTATCAAAATAAATATATATATATATATATATATATATATATATATATATATATATATATATATATATATATATATATATATATATATATATATATATATATATATATATATATATATATATATATATATATATATATATATATATATATATATATATATATATATATATATATATATATATATATATATATATATATATATATATATATATATATATATATATATATATATATATATATATATATATATATATATATATATATATATATATATATACAGTGGCCCCTCGGTTAACGAACTCAATCAGTTCCAGAAGGTCGTTCGTTAACCGAAACGTTCGTTAACCGAAACCATTGTTTCAATGGGTTTTTGGGTAATTGGTTCCAGCTCACCGAAAATGTCCTAAATTCAACAAATGGTAGAAAAGTTCACTTCCTTTGAGGTGTGTATGTAGAAGGCTCCTGGATGATGATGATGATGATGATGGGATTTAGAATGGGGGTGGAGGAGAAGGAAGAAGAGAAGGCATTGGGGTGGAAGAGAAGTCACCCCATGGTGCCATTTCACCCATAAAATTTTAGCTCTCTGGTTTAATTCAAGATTATTTTCTTTAAATCAACGCTGCACTGCATTATATATTGTCAATATATAAAATATATTTCAAAATGACCAATAATTTGCTTGGAAACACAGAAAAAAAGCATTTAGTTGAAGAGAGTCTCAAGCAAGATGTTACCTCCAGTGAAAACAGAGAGAGACTGGCGCCTGTTTGCTGTGTTAAGAGGCTGGATGCCGCGCATTAAACTAGTCACTTTACCTTCAATTTTGTTCAATAATTGTTAAAATGACTAAAAAATTGAATATTAAACTTTTAAAATTATTGAATAGTATAAACATCTTGATATTTACAAAAATAGTAAGGAATTTAAGCCCTAGAACCGATTAATGTATTGGCGGACTGATACTAAACCTGGTTGCCCGGTCAGTGCAAGCGAAAACATGTTGAGGTCGGTTCGTAAGAAGTTCGTTAAGCGAATTTTTTTTCGTTAACCGAATTGAAGATCCTTATGGAAGGCAGTTCGTTAATCGAAATTACGTTAACCGAGGTGTTCGTTAAACGAGGGGTCACTGTATATATATATATATATATATATATATATATATATATATATATATATATATATATATATATATATATATATATATATATATATATATATATATATATATATATATATATATATATATATATATATATATATATATATATATATATATATATATATATATATATATATATATATATATATATATATATATATATATATATATATATATATATATATATATATATATATATATATATATATATATAAGTGTAACATTTATTTAAAAGAAAGAAAAAAAGCTTCGTAAGTAGCGTTTAAAAAGTGGCTGTACAGGAGTGTTGTGGCTTGGCTCAATGTTTACAGTTCATGTTCGACATCACTTGTTCAATTGATTTATGTGTTTTGTTTGTGAAGAAATACCTGTACAGTATATGTAAATTGTAAAATTTTAAATAAGAGAGAAAAACAAAATAAGTAGCATTTAAAGTGTACTGTACATTGTGGCTTGGTGCGGGGTTATGCAGTGTTTACAGTTCACGTTCGACATCACATGTTCAATTGATTTATGTGTTTTGTTTGTGAAGAATTGCAGAAATAATTTATGTAATATTTATGTATACAGTATACCTGTACAGTATATGTAAAATGTAAACTTTTAAATAAGAGAAAAACAAAATACATAGCGTTTTAGACCCGAGCGCTCTGTTTACTCCACACTTTGTTTGAAACACGTGTGAAGTTTTTAAGTGTCCTCAGTGAATTCTGATTACTGTTTCTCCAATTTTGTGACTATGGAAAAGAAGAATATCTCTGGGAAGCACTCTGGTGATCGCATTTCCGGTGGTGATCGTAAAAGAAAGGCTATAACACTTGAAGAAAAGCTTGATGTTTCATGACTCCTCAGCCTCAACATCACCCTTCTCCCCCATCAAGTTATATTCATATTTTTTCAAGGTAAAGTGTAACATTTACTGTATGATTTCATTATTAGATATGAATGTAACATTTATTTAGACTGTGCTATCCTTTGTGTTAGGCTAACTACGAAATTTTTTTTCGATTTGGAGTAATCTGCACCTAACCCTATTTTCTCCATAAGCCCTGTAATTTCTATTACACGAATTTCTATAACACGATGTTTTACAAGAACACTACTATCGCGTTATAGCAGAACTACCTGTATATATATATATATATACCTAAACCCCGACTTACGACGGGGTTAGGGACCCAAATCCAGGTCGTAAGTCCGATATAGAAAAAAAAAAATTTTTTTTTTTTTTTTTTTTTTTTAATAAAAATCTACTATGAAATACAGTACAGTAAAAGTAATGAATAATGATGAATGGATACAGTACAGTGAAAGTAATAATAAGGAATGGATACAGTGTGACTGAGCACTTAACCTTTAATGTAGTCAGCTGAATGCACATACCCATAATTTTCTAATTATACATGGAGACTACATTAACTGGAAACGTTTCGGTATAGAAAATGTGTGTGTCATTTAAAATTTTTTTTTTTTTTTTTTTTTTATCTATATCTGAGGTCGTAAGTCCCGACGGTTAATGAAATCACGTAGTTGTAAGTCAGGGTCTGGGTATTAATATATATATATATATATATATATATATATATATATATATATATATATATATATATATATATATATATATATATATGTGGTTATCAGCATATACCTAGATCACGCGCACCTACAGTGATTTACTTGCACATACAGTATATATATATATATATACATACACAGTCGGCCCTTAACATACGCGGGTTTAGCATACACGGATTTGCAAATACGAGGATTGCCCCGCCGGAGGAATATTCTGTACATTGAAGTAATTGAAGTACATTCAAATCGCGCGCCATTCAACTCGCGCACGGCACCAAACATGGGACACCGCCCGCTCCCACACACACACACACACACACGCATAGCTCTCCCTCACTCAGTCAGTCTCGCTGTAACCACGCTTTTGTTGACATCAGCATTGTAGTTGCAAAAATATTACATTTCCGTGAATGTATTATATCAAGCACAGTATGAATATAATACCACTAATATAAGAGTATTTTAACCGAAAACTACTAAAAAAACGAGTAACATATCTTGAACATCGGAAGGTTAGGTAAAGTCTTTTGTTTTCATGTAGTTTATCCTAATTTACATTGAAATGCAGTACGTTTCAGCAAAACTACTATTTATTTCTGAGAATATGGAAATGCAATATTTTGCTGAAATGACGTACGTATTACAGTGGAAAGTGACGAAAGCAATGACTCGCGTTCTTTCGTTCAAAAGATGTTACCGTAATCGCTTTTCGAATGGTTTTGTTAAAAAACTGTTGTATTACAATAATATTCTACCCTAATTCACTTGTGATGCAACAGTTTTTTTAACTGAAAACCATTCGAAAAGCGATTACGGTAACATCTTTTGAACGAAAGAAAGCGAAAGTCATTGTTTACGTCACGATTTTATCCCACTTTCCACTGTAATACGTACGTCATTTCAGCAAAAATATTACATTTCCGTGAATGTAGTATATCAAGTACAGTATGAATAGAATATCATTGTAATATAACAGTATTTTAACCGAAAACTATTTAAAAAACGAGTAACATCTTTTGAACATTGGAAGGTTAGGTGAAGTCTTTTGTTTTCGTCATGTATTTTATCCTATTTTACATTGAAATACATCACGTTTCAGCAAAACTACTATTTATTTCTGAGAATATATTCATTCAGGCACAGTTTAGGTAAAATATACATGTGCTGTAACATTTTTTTAATTGAAAACGATTCGAAAAACATGTACCCTCTAGCCCTGTTCAAGGAGAAGACTGGGAGGAGCTGTTTGGTGCTTAAGCTGATGACAAGGAAAATTATTTTGATGGATTTTAATGAAAATATTCAGAAAGACCCTGGCACTGTCAAGGAAAGTGGCTGCTGAAGGCTTCCAGGACATGGCAGAGGACGAGATTAGGGAGCTAATTGAAGAGCACGACACTGAGCTGACCGAGGAGGATCTACAGGAGTTAGTAGACTCGGGCGAGGAAGAGGAAGAGGAAGAGGAAGCGAAAGGGAATGAGGAAGAGGAAGCGAAAGGGAAAGAGGAAGAGGAAGAGGAAGCGAAAGGGAAAGAGGAAGAGGAAGAGCACCAAGAAATAACGTTGGAGAAGTTGGGGGAGATGACCAGGAATATTGAGGCACTGAAAGACCTGGCCTATAGTATGGACCCCTCCATGGTGCGTGCCCTGAAATTCATGCGAGGGATGGATGACGTTTTTGCTCCATACAAAAACATCATGGAAGAAATGAAAGAAAGAGACGACAGCTCCCCATCACCATGTTCTTTGATCACCGAAGGAGAGATTTAACACATCAATCACTGAGAAAATTTTTCTGGTAACCGGAAAATTTGGGGGATGGGGATATTTTTTCATGTTCTAGAGATGGTGTAATGTGCAATTTCTGGAACTTCCGAGAATATTTTTCTGTTTCTCAAAAAATTCCAGAAAATTACAGGGATGAGCAATTTTTTCCGAGTTTGAGAGATGAAATAATGCATCATTTTGGAACTTCTGAGAAAATTTTTCCATTACCCAGAAAATTCCGGGGATGAGATATTTTTTTCCGACTAATGGAGATATCACTATTGTTAGATGAAAAATATCTATACCATAATTTACTATTACATTATGTATACAGTGAGTAAAGAGTGTGATCCATAACTTGCTATGATATCTGATTATCATTAAGTTATCAGAGCAACAATGTATATTAATGTTAACAGAACGTGTACCGTTGTTCCCACAAGCACACACACTTTAAAGATTTTTTCTTCATATATCTGAATTTGAAAAGCTTTTATTGTGGCTTGATAATGTATCATTTAATGTGCATGGAAAGTCAATAACCCTTTCTAATGTCTCCATGTTCCAGGGCCGGATACTCAAAAAAATTTATGGGACTGTATGTCGTTGCGTACCCGTAACTGGACTCACAGTCTCAGATTGGCATACTCAAAACACAGATGGTATACTCAAAACCAATATTTGACATCGAACTCCGTAAGTTAACGCAAGTAACTTACACCAGCTCCCGAGGTTGTGTAACACTCTCAACCCGGATGTAGTAGTGACTAATTCCCGATTGTATAGAAAATAATAATAATAATATATGTTGTAATAATGCTTGTTAGACTTGTTTTATCATAGAATAAAGAAGAAAATGTTTTGTACATCAACATACTGAAATATAATATTTCACTTTGTCTTTTTCGTAACTTTTTTGTTGCCATAATAAGCGGCTTGAGTGTTTGTATTTGTCTCAGTTTGGAAGAGACGCATCTTTTGTCTTCTTACACATTATAAAGTATTTCTTACCAAAATAGAAGGTTTGTATTGTTCACACTTAGGGTAAAAATATGTTTTATGACTGAGTAAACTTGCAGATAGAACTTATTAATGTTGTATAGCCGTAAATATCCCTCAGTAATGAAAGCCAAATATGAGGTCAAGTGAACATTCCTGCCAAGACTTCGCCTTGTTTTTCTAATATTCAACCAATAGCCTTAGCCTATTTTCTTATGTATATAGCTTATGATAACATGAAAGGCTATAAATTTCCATAGGCTAGCCAAAATTAAATGATATTAGGTGTAAAATATGGATTACAATTAACTTGATTAATAGGTGCCTATATAACTGCTTTTTCAGTCTTAGGCAAATAAATGTTTAAACGTGGGGCCTACTTAATTTAGTTAGAACATGGGGATTATTTAAATAAGAAATTATACTAATAGGGTATAGGTTAGATAGATAGGTTTGGTTATGTTATGTTATGGTATGTTAGGTTAGAGAATGTGTACATGGTTTTTAGGTGAGCGTCAGGCCGTCAGTGAGACACTTAGTCTAGCAGCTACCTTAGGCCTAGTTCCAGACTTTCCTTGAACATTATCATAGGTAGAGTATTAATTTAAGAAAATTTACGGCTAATCCGATATATTTTCAGGTTTTAAATTGTTGTTTTTTGTATGAACTTGAAGACAATTCAGACCAAATGTTCCCAACATTGAAAGGAAAACACCAGGGTCTAGGCTAAATGAGTAATTTAAGAGAAGTGATTTGTCATTTAGGTTAGGCAAGGCTATGCTATCAATAACCAATTTATTTGAATTTGCCCAGAATAAGGCTATCTTAGTATAGCTTATGTGTCTTGTCACAGGCCAACATTATGCAAGGGATTATTTACCTAAATTCTAGTGGGGTAAAACACCAAATACTGTGAGATCTCTGTTAGCCAGAACAATTGGTGAAGAGCACTACCGTGAATGAATGAGTGTTTTCCCGTTAACGAGACAGTTATCACAAATCAAGAAAATATCCCTCATCCCCAGAATGTTTATGGTAATGGAAAAATTTTCTCGGTAGTTCCTGCAATTGCCCATTACATCATCTCTCGAACCCAGAAATATATCCCCCATCTCACTAAAATTAGGTCGTCTCTTCTTGGCTGGTGGTCCTTCCATGTTTACAAAATAATATTACGTGCGTCGCTCTCAGCTGATTTCTCCTTCTCTTGTGATTGGTTGATGATTTTGTTAACTGAGCGTTGATTGGCCAACTAGCATCTGCACTGACATCTACCGTCCGACAAGAGAACTTAATTTACAGGGTAAACACTAGAGTTACGAGAACTTACGGAAGGCTTACGGAACCATAATTAAATTTTGAGTTTGCTAAATTTATGGTAGTGTAAGGCTTCCACAATATATGGTACTGTATCATGCTGAAAAACGTAACTTATGAGGTGTTTTGAGTATCCGGCCCCAGTTACATAAAACAAGGATATTAGAATGATAGTAACTACATTATAACTACATTCTAACAACACTGAGTGTAAGCTTATTCAAGACCAGATTTGTTGTATGAAATTTTTTTAAGATTAACTAACACTTTCCTTGTGCTTAAGACTCATACTGCTCAGGTTGTTGTCTAATCTCTGCTTATTAAGCTATAAATAATTTTACCTGGAGTTGCTTCGCGCTAATACGAATGTCCGACTCATTGAATTCATATGGAACATTCCAGCCAAGGGGACCAAAGTTCCTGCGTTCCTGGATGAGTGCATGGAAGAAACACAGGCCATAGAGAAGTCGTTGGAAGGGTCGTTGATTATGGCAGGAATTGAAGAATTCTGGGTCGTTGATAGGGTCATTGTGGTAAGACTTCAGCAAGTTGGCTCGAAGACCACGCGGGGGCTCATTAGTCATCTTGATGCCTGCACACATACATAGAAAATCTTGAGCAACTCAAGCTGTAGATACCGTATATCAAAATCCTGAATTTGAAAATTCATAATATATCAGAATATTCATAGAACTTCTACCCCATATCGATAATTTTGAGGTTGATGACTTGTGTATTTCAAGTGTTTTGCAAGAAGTTTAGTAAACAAGATCCATTTGTTAATTGTACAAACCATCTTGCAACAGTGATACAGGGAAGGCAGGAGATGGGTAGCTGGTTAACCACAGACGGAAGTTGGGGTGCGTTGAGTCAGACTGAAGGATCTGGCTACAGAGTATCTCGAGGCGCATCATCCATGACTCGGCCAAATGGCAGTTTTGCAGCACCACCCACCACCCGACTTCTGCCCCCTGCTGCATTATGTTCTCTGCTAGTGCACC